AAAAAATTAATAAGAAATATATTTACCATTGTTTTCAATAATAAGTTTACAATGCTCTTTCATTGACCTCACTAAATTATTGATAAGATATTGAGAAATCTCTGCCCACTCCTTCTTTATAAATTACTCCAATTGTAAAATATTTCTTGGTTGTCATATCTCTACATTCCTCTTGACAATACTCCATAAGTTTTTGATAGGGTTTAGGTCAGGACTGTTGGATGGCCAATCAATTATTCTTGGAAAGTTATTTTGAAGATATTCTTTCATCATACCACTTATATGCTTCAGATCATTGTCTTGTTAGAACTGCCAATTGTTTCTTAATATGTTTCTGATCTCAGGAACATGTTTCTTTAGGATATCAATGTAAAAAAGACTGGTCATATCTTCTCAGAAGCAAAAAAGACTCATTTTACCTTTTGTACAAAATCCACTCCAGATATTAATTTTTATTCGGTCTTTTGGGATATGATGAACTGGCTGTTCACTCTTGTACCAAACTTGTACAGTATTTCTGAATAGCTGAAAACTTGTTTCATCAGAAAATACTTTCCAATTCTAATTGTCATTAAGATGATTTTGCACCCATTCTACTTGCTTTTCCTTGTATACCACCATGAGCATTGATATTGCCATAGGGAGACTTTTATCAAAGCTATGTTTGGCTAAATGTCTTGAAAGTGTACTATAAGATACCTAGGTACCTTTTTTGAATAACTTTGTGGTCAATGTTCTTAAAGATATTGTAGGATTTCTCTGAACAATCTGTCTAATGGAACTTAAGCATTCGAAAGTGATTTTTGTGGGATAACCACTGTATTTTTTGTGGACTGTACTTTGGGTTTTCTTCAATTTTGAAATGTTATAGTAAATAGTCAACCTCACAATATTTGGTAGATGATGTATTTCACCTGCATTTTTGCTCTGAAGCCAGAAATGCTTAATAGTTTAGGCATGAGTATTTTTCTTGGCTGTCGGCATTTTCATTTGCTCTTTTTAGAAAATATATCAATAAAATTTTGTGAAAAAAGAAAGTAAAATGACTCTTGTAGTACTAAATATCTTATCTCTTTTTATTTGGTCTAGTTTGGATTGAAATTAAGTAAGTTACACCAATTTGATTTTGAATGATGATTGTCCAAAGACTTTTGCAACACACTGTATATGTACATTTTAAAGTACATGTAGTTTTTGAACGACTGAACTGTTTTTAATGATAATTCTAAAAAATTCAGTAGTGACGTAGTATTTGCTGGGATGCACTATATTTTTTAGGTATTGATTTAATTTTTCGAAGTATTTGTTATGAACTACTAGATAATTAGAAGAGTATTGAGAAGTGGGAGGAGTTGGACTGAACTGATTACCAAAGTTAAAAAATATATTCGAGCAAAAAAAAGTAAGTATAAATTTAATAAAAAAATGCTTCAATTACAGATTCGACTTTCTCAAACAGTCAAATGAAAAATGTTCAAGCAGCATAAATTGATATGATATGAACTTTTACATCTTCATCTTAATGTAATGAGCACTTTCAATTTCTTGCGCAATAATTTCCAAGCTTTTTCAGTAAATGGTGCAGTGGATTTTGATTTATAGCATTTTTATATGCTTTAAGTCGAGAATTTCCCATTGCCATTTATATTCTTTACCATCGTCGACGTAACGTTCATTTATCATTTCGTAAACGCAGCTTACAATTGCGTTCCTGCGATTTTTAATTGCCTGAATTCTCAAATTTTCGTATTTTTTCTTATACTGTATTCTTCTTGCCATGATATGTATTTTGCAATTTCAATTTCTTTTTTGCGACTTTGCTCTTTAAGAGATTGTAAGAACTTTCTTTTCAATTCTATAATTTTTCAATTGCGAATATTCACGATAGACGTCTTGGACTTGAGGAGCCCAGTATTGAAGTTCTTTTCTGATTTTCGTCAATCTTTTATCAGGAATATGAATGACGGATGGAAGTGCTCGTAAAATAAGGATAGCACTGTTTGTAAAATCTTCTGAGCTTTTTTATATTTTGAAAAACATTATTAATTAGATTATCAAAATTCAACGATCCTTTAATATATATTTTATTACCTTGTGCGCAACACTGTAAAGGAAATTCCCATTCAACGGAATTAATCTTTCTTTTTTCCAACATTTTCGACACCGCTTTCCATAAATACTCATTAAAAACTGTCGTTCATCCATTTCCTCCGGTGGAGAAATATCAGTAGGCAGCAACATTTTATATTTTGAATCCATCCAGATTACCTTGGATGAAAATAAAAATCGGTGTGGTGCATCAAAATATTTTAGCACAAAGAAATGTGTGTTACCTAGCCGGAGCGATTACTGGTAATCTTCCAAACAAACCTGGAGACTGTTCGATCAGGTGGGTTTTACTAGTAATATCCGCGCTTCTTTTAACGGCCTAGATCTCGTGATTCGAACTCACCTCTAGTTCCGCCGATAGAAGGCGTATTCGATTTCGTTGGTAGTATTGTAATCTCTCCGTGGATCATTCAACCAAACTCTCAAGGATTAAAGAATGTTTATTATTCAATTAGAGTATTTTTATTTAATAAAATATATGGGTTTTTATTATTCCACTCAACTTGAAATACAGAAAAATAATAAATTCTATCAAAAACTTTCTTTTGTCGCGACGAATCACCTTTATAAGTGATTCGTCTTTTTCCCACTCCCCTTGCTCATCTATTGTTTATTACATGCTTGTATGTGGCTCGTTTGTGATAATAGTATTTCAACATCTCCCTTTTGGCCCGAGAACACTATTACTATTATCTCGTCGTTACTGCCCGTGATGCAAGATGTGGCTCGTTTGTGATAATAGTATTTCAACATCTCCCTTTTGGCCCGAGAACACTATTACTATTATCTCGTCGTTACTGCCCGTGATGCAAGATCCCGTGTAGCATCACATGAACCATGATTTTTAACACGAATCTAACCCATAATTTCATGGTGTATTAAGATCATGCATATGTACAGGTATACGAAATTTGACAGGTGAATGACCATTTGTCTTGATCATAATCTTGTACATGCAACATCTATAAAGGAATACATGTACATGTAATGTCTTAGGATGGTGCAAATGTATTATTGAAGAATACTGAGGAGCTCAACACTTTAAATTTATTTATTTTGATTTTGACAATGAATATACATGTAACTGGAAGCTGAAGATGTTATATTTTCAAAACTATCAGTTCTTTAGAATATCCTAGAACATATGAAGAAATTAGAGTGTGTTAGAATAGAAAAAGCGGAGAGTTGATGAAGGGATGAAAATGTAAAAAAGTATTTCTATGAAAACAAAAAAATGTCCACTCAAATGCAATTCGCATGTACATTAATCGATGTTTACTTCAAAATTAATAGCAATCTCAACTGGTACAAGTACGTACATTTATTTTTATATTCAATACATTTCCGATTGATTTAAATAGATCAAAATATTTAGGTTCTACAAGCTTTTGTTCTGTATCTCCGAATGAAGGTAAAATCACTATTTTTCTAAGAATTCGAAATATTCAAAATACTTGTCTTGCAGCTGTGACTATTGAATGTGATAAAGATGTCGAAATGAAGATAGAAATTATTATTTTTTTGTTTTATTTTATTCATGAGAGTTTATTGATATAATATTGAGAATGATGCCGTCGAAAATTTATAAAAATTAACCATACCACGTAAGTATTTTTCATTAAGAATAGAGTCATAACAGTTTGAATATCGTGTTATTAATAAAAAACTAGATTTCAAAGATTATAAACCGAACAAGTGATCTTAAACGTAATCAGATAATTTTTTGACGGTTAACCGGTTATAATTTCTATATATAATAATTTTTAATTTTTATTAAAGAACTTATGAAAGTAATTGTTGTTATCGTTATGGGTCAAAAGCAAAATTTAATTGAACATCATTTTTATCAAGATTTCTGATCGTTCTTGTAATTTTTTATCCCTATCAATTTTTAACAATATCAAATATATGCGCATAAATAACAAAGAAATTGAAATTATTTTTTGGTTTATGCTAAGATCAGTTATCTGTAGTTTATCTTGCAAGTCACTTACTCATCCTCATTGTTTGGGATGTCCTAAATAACTGTAGAACTGAAAATGCTAGTTGATTATAGTCATCTTCGTAAATAGAATACCAACATTTTTTAATAATAAATTTACATCATCCGGAACATTATTTGGTATCAGCTTTATAAATTATCTCAAAGCCTATCCTTGCAAGATATTCAACATTGATAAATCTTTCCATTCGAATAATTCTTTTTATAAAATTTATTGCATTCTTTATTGGATTGTCTATATCTCTGCTAATACAATTCATATTCATAAATTCGTTTGTGATATTCTTATATTATCAATTTTTAACATGTAATTTGTTTATTGGCCGATTTATTTAAATTTTTATTTTTGCTTTTTTTCCTTGTGAATTACAAAATTCGTGTTTTTTAAATTTACAGCAAGATAAGTTTTTTATGTGGAAAGGAAGCATATACTATGTCATTTTTGCAATAGTTTTATGCGAATCATTAAATTCGCATTTTTTTTTTTAGTTTTGGCGACTGATGAAGATGATGTGAGTTATATTATTATTGTGAGGAAGACTATGTTGTGTGTGTGTATATGAAGGGTAAAAAATACCATGACGCTCTTTTTTTTTGCGAATTTGTAATTCGCGTTTCTTTTTTAGGTTTTGCCATTTCGGTATAATGAGATGAGCGTTATTCGTTGTGTATTGAAGGGGGAGAATGTAATATATGGGGAGTATTTGTTGTTTTGCAAATTAACTAAATCGCTTTTTTTTGAATTTAGTAATTCGTGTTTTTAGGTTTTGCCGTTTCAGCAGTTTTGGCGGCTGGTGATAATTGAGTGTTATTTGGTATGTGTTTGAAGGGGAGAATGTAGCTTTTGTTGCGTGTTGGGAAAAGAGAGGGGAAATGCAACATTTATTATGTTGGGAGGAAGAATGTAATGTTGTGCGGAGAGTTTTTTTTAGTATGAAACGTGAATTTAATAATTGTGTTTCTTGTTTTAAAATGCGAATTACCAAATAAATTATGTTTTTGATGATTTTGACAGCGGATGATAAAAGTAAGTATTTGAAGACGTATACAACATTTGGTTTGTGTTTGTGGAGGGAGAATGTTATGCTATTTTAGAGAAAAATTATTTTTTTTGTGCTAATCAACTAATCTATAAATTTTTTTATTTTTTTTAGATTTCACAATTTCGGTGGTCGATAATAAAGATAGTATTTGAGGAGAGGAGAGGATAGAATGTTGTAAGGAAAATTTTTTTTGTGCGAATTAACTAATTCGCAATTTTTTAATTTTTTTTTAGATTCCGTCATTTCGGTAGCAGATGATAAAGATGGTTATTGATTTGGGGGAGACTATGTTGTGTGTTGGAGGGAAGAGTATTGTATTGTGGAAGGGAGGAAGACTATATTGTATGTGGGGGAAGAATGCAATGTTGTGTTAAAGAGGTTTTATATTTTTATGAATTACTAAATTTTCTTTATTTTTTTACGTGAATTACTAATTTCACATTATTTTATTTGTTTTAAATACTAAATATGCCATATCAAATGCAAATCTCGTACATGGATAACGAACTAAAGAATTTGGGTGGTTAGCTTCAACGTATTATCCTAAAGACGACATTGTTTTACGCTCTGCAAAAGCTAATTCTACCAGTCCTTTATGCTCTGAATCAAATTTAATTTTACGACTAGTGAAAACTGATGATATATTAGTAAAATCCCGGATTTCCAGATTTTAATTTAGTTTCGCGAAATGCTAAATTCGCAGATTTTGGCGGTTGGTTCATATGTCAAAGTTCTTCGACTTTAAACTGTTTACTCAAACGTGACGACTTGTACTGCGTGAAATTGAATTTAGGAAAGTGATGATGAGATGAATGTTATTATTGTGAGGGAGGAGCGAGGCTATGTTATGATGTTTGGGAGGAAGAATGTTGTTTTACCTCGCATTTTTTTAATTTTTTGCGAATTACTAAATTCGTAATTTTTTAGGTTTTGGCAGTTTCAACAACTGGTGATAATGATTTTTTACGCGAATTTAGTAATTTGTATTTTTTTAGGTTCTGTTATTTTGACAGTTTCAGTGGCTGGTGATTCATACTTTCCAAATCATGATACTGTCAACAGCCATAACCACAAATCTGCCTGGACATAACCTTACATCACCACTGAATAATATTAAATGACATTGTTTCCCTTCGAAAAATGATCCAGATGAGATGAGTATGAGAATTTTTATGCGAATTAACTAAATTCACGTTTTTTGCAAATTATTAAATTCACATTTTTTATTCATTTATTTACTTATTTTTTTCTTTTTTAGGTTTCGGCACCAGATTACAAGATGAGTGTTATTACTATTGTGGATAGATGGGAGAAGGATATAACATCTGCGAATTACTGGATTCACATTTTTTATTTTAAAATGCGAATTGAATAATTCGCGATTTTTTTTGTGAATTATTGAATTCACATTTTTATTAGGATTCCGGTGTTGTTGAACATCTCACTCCACCACCCGCTGCTCTCAATAGCACTTATCCGATGCTAGAAGCACAAAGAGTTAGATCTATGCCAACAACCCAATACTCGTCTTCCCAAAAATTCAATCCATTCTTTCAAAAACCTTCTGATTTCAACAGAATATATATAACAAAACTGTATGATTGTAGAACAGTTATGTAAAAATAAATACTAAGTAAAAAATATCGATATGTTGCCTCTAAAGATCTGCACAAAACTGCGCCCTCTGACATTATCTGATGTAGATTATAATCTCCTTACCATCCATAACTTTATATAGCATTCCGGAAAAATTTGTTAATGAGAAATATAATAATTGGGATGAAAAAATCATGCTTATTCTCTTTGCTTAATGAATAATAAAGCAAGATATAGCCAAATTTTTATTTAATTTCTTGATTGCTGCCATTCCAACAGATTATTACTTCAATTTCTATAACAATATGAAGTTAAAATATAATAATCAAAATTGGAATTCATTTCTATAAAGCACTGGAAAAGCTAGAGAAAGCAAGATTAATAGCAAAAAATAATATTGAGAAATTACAATAAAAATAGATAAAGTAATATAAGTCTTTTAAATATTCAAATTTTCTATCTAGGTAAAAAAGTTCTCTACTAAATATACTTGAAGATATTATAATATTAAGTTTAAAAAATGATGGCTAGATTTATTTTACATTCATAATTTTCTCCATTAAAATATATTTATTAAGTTTATATAATGATTCTTCTTATATTATATAGTATTTTGCTTGATTCTTGATTTATTATTATTATTTTTCTATATATCCTATAGAATAGCTTTTATTTTTCAGATAATATAATAAATTATTATAAGCATTTATTTTTATTACTTTTATATTATTTTTAGTTAATTTAATTTATTTTTTAGTATTTAAATTTTTATTTCTGGTAAATATCTAATTGTCTTATTTAATTATTTAGATTTATTCATATTTTACTTACTAATTTTAATTAATACATCTCTTTATAGCATTTCCAAGCAAGAATTGTGCATAGACATCATCATAATCCGCAGAATTTGCAATTAAAGCAACTGCAAAATTTGTATCTACCGAAATTCTGCGGAAAACCTCTATGTGTCTGACTTTTGAGAGTCAAGTTTTGGCCATCGATATATAATTAAAGGCTACTTGGGAAGGCGCTTGATTAAGTCACTTTCAATTCAGAAGTTAGGTTGACTAAAGAATTGTAAATGTAATAAAATTCGTGAGCAAAACTGAATGTTTTACATTAAATTTCAAACGTAAAAAGTAAAATAGGAATTTAATTAGCACAAGTAATGACAAACAAAATAATGACAAAGTTTTATTAAATACATGTACTATCCAATTCTAATAATAAAAAATAATTTTATTCCAAAATACTCAAATAATCAAAATAATCAAACAAATTGTATCAATTTTTATAGCAAAAGAGGTAAAACCTTTAGTTTTGTCAGCAAAATAAAGCTATCAATTACGATATGAACAAAAAAAATATAGCAATAGTTATATCAAAAGAATATATACAAGAATCCATAAATGAAATTTTTTAATTTAATATGGTTTGAATTTCATGAGATATAATAATAGGCACCGATAGCATCCAAAGCACCAACGCAGTCGCCGTCTTAAACTACACCTCAACCGAAATCAAGCAGGTAATTAAAAATCCCTCGTTGATTTTTTAACCGTTAATCATATACTTATTTTTTATTGATAATAGCAGTGATTTACTTCTCGTTAAAAGAATTTGCTTTAGTTATTTTACTTCAAACCACCCATTGTCTATCCCTTGGATCTTCTAAAGCGATTTTTTACATAATTACAAATGATAATCTAGTACAATATTTCGCAGGTTTTCTAAAATACAAAGTACGAGTTTTTAACCTAAAGAAATAATATCTATGTAAAAAGAATAGATTATGTATAGTGCGAAATGAAAATAAAAGTCAAATTATTATTATTATTATGGATCATGAAATAAAGAAAAACGTAGAATCATTACGAATTTCTTCCAAACGATAATCAGAATCATGAGGTTGCGGTGCCAAGACTCTTTGTTGGAAAGTTACAAAATAAAGAATTATTGTTGATGCTACATGGTAAAAATATATCTCTTGAGGATAAGATAAAATTTCTATAAGTTTCGAGGTTACAAGGTAGAAGTTCGTGGGTGCCGTAAATATTTTTTTCAAGAATTACAAACACTTGTACATAAACTTTGAATTCCTATTGCTAATGCATGCATGTGCACACATACGTGTCTATAAAACGATAATGATTATCTCGTTTGTTTTACTATCATTTCAAGCAATTCGCTTTTCATCAAATGAATTCAAAGATGCAAACAAATATTCACGAAGATAATTGCTGCTGCGATGAGTGTTTAGTTCGCTACATTCATGATTGTAGTAAATATACTCGTTGTCAGAAATATGAAGACTGCTTTGACTGTTTTATAACGAACCCTACGAAAAAAAGGACCCGCAAATTTTTTCAGAATTTAGTGTGACCAAATTTTCGGAACTAGCCCGGAACCGATTCCATATCAAAATACGGAATTGTTCCTGTATTCCGAAACAATTCCGAAACGTGTTCCGAAGCAAATTTTATATTAAAATACGGAATTTTTCGCATTCCGAAAACAATTCAGTAACAAATCCAAAGCAATTCTCAAATCAAAATATGGAATTTTTTCAATATAAATCATTTATTAATATAAACGTATCACTACATCAAATATCATACTATAGTAACAATAACTTTGATTAAAAAAACAAATAATCTCTATTTTCTTTTTGGCTTCACTTCAATTTTGATCCAGTTTTCGCGACTTGAATATTCTTTTCTTTAGAAGTAGTGTTCTGAGAAGGACTAGTAGAGGTGCCACAAGAAGAACTAATAGAAGTATCATTTTTTTATTGCTATCCTATAAAATAAAAATTTAATATTAAAATGTAATAAGTACAATTATTAATATATAGTAGTTTACTTAGATTGTGTTGTTTTAAATGGACCTTTGTATTTGCTTCTTTAAGACTTGCAAATTGGCAGTTTCTTTATCAATCTCTTCAATTGGTTCAAATTTTGAATTTCTTCTAAAATTTAACAAAAATTCATATGTATTATTAAAATTAAAGTATTAATAATAAAGAATATATAATGATAATTATTATCTTCCATTTGATTTATCATTTTTTTCTTTATTTAAATCAAGCTCTTCATTAGATGATTCATTAGTATCTGAAAGTTGTCATATTTTAGCTAAAGTTGCAACTTGAGGATTTGATGGTTGAATAGAATTTGTTATAGGAAGATCTTCAGAATATTGTTTTAAAGATTGTATAACTCATCATTTTAGCTGTTTCTTCCCAGTGACATACAGAATCAGCTTTCTATTTAATATAATTTCATTTATAATATGCTATAAAATGTAATATATAATATTAGAGTAGTATTAAATAATTTACTTTATCCATCTATATATTGATGTAAAGCTTCTTTAAAAGACCAATATCCAACACAATTATTAAAACAAGAAAACTTTTTTACTGCTTTCTCACGAATATTTTCAGGAATTAAAGATAGTTTGGCATTTTTATAATATTCACTTGTTTTTTCATAAAACTTTAAAGTAAAAAATTAAATTTTAGATTTATTAATTAAAAAAATTTAAAAAAATATACCTTTAAAGCAAGAATAACTTTTTGATCAATATTTGTATACTGAGAAATATTGACTTTAGTTAATCGTTTCCTTGAGAATCATATTTTGGTTTTTCAATTAGCAAGTTAGAATCCATAGTAGCTTCAGAATTATTTGAACAAATAGGAGCAGCTGAAGCAGATATAGTTAAAAAATTAAAAGATGAGGTATACAAAAAGTTAAATTAATGACACAATTTTTTAAAAAATTTACATCATATATTATTATTAATTAATAATGTATTATAATTAGTTCCGAATCAGTTCGGTAATGTACATTCCGTCTTACATTCAGTTTTAGTTGTGTAACTGTTTCATAATGTGCATTCTGCCAGCGTAACAATTCTGAATTTGGTTCCGAATCAGCCCCGAAAATTTTTGGTCTGGGAAAATTCTGTATCATATTTCGAAGTCATTCTGTATTTAAGATCGATTTCGTAAAAATTCCGAAAAAGTTTATACCAAAATTCAATATTGGTATCCATTCCTTCTCAATTGCGATTCCGAGTAGATTTCGTAACCTAAGTATCAATTCCGAAAAGTTCCAGGCACTTTTTCTCATAGGGGAATTTATAACGATGAATTGTCTAGCGAAGATAAAGATATTAGCAATATAAAGTTTAAATTATTCGAACAGATTCCTTTTCAAAGATTTACCAACGTTGAATTTCTTGCAAATGAGGTTTTGGTAAAATTTATAAAAGCAACCTGGTTGAATGGACCATTAAGTTATCCATATCCCTACGGGAAAAATGTATCAGGAATTTTACGTGAATCATAAGCAATTTCTCAGCAATGTGTCATGAATAATCCCATATGTATTGTTCGTAAATCCCTACGTAATTACCATACGGAATTTAAAAATTTCATATGATTCCAGACACAAATAACGTATAACTTACAGAAAAACGCAGACGATATCTTATATATTCCGTAAGAATCTCTTAAAATTGTTTACCCGTTCTATATAAATTACATAAAATTCCATATACAATTTACGCACACAACCCTGAAATTCACAGACTATATATTGATTATTTATTTACATATGACTAATATCTAGTCTTACTCGATGCTTTCTATGATTGGGGGATGGTTAAAGCGGGGGTAACGATGAAATCATCAAATTAATAGTTAAGTTATTGATATTTAATATACAAGTATAAGTAGAATTTCATGCTGAACATTTTTACTTAGAAGTTAAAGGCTAGTTATCATAGTAAAATTTTGAGTTATTTACGAATTTT